AGCAGGAATGAATTTTTAAATTTGGGCCCAGATTTGGCTCTTGAACTGGCATCTTCCAGTCCTTCCCTGGAGTAGAAGTGGTGCGTGCATCAGATTTGGGGGTTCCGTTTGCCTTGGTTCAAGAGAAACTGCTGTAAAATTCAAGGGAGATACAGACCATTTTGGAGAACGGGAGAATATAATAAAGGATCCAGTTCAAAGGACTTCCTGCCTAATGGAAAGGCAGCTCTTACTAAGAACTGTGCTTCTGCCTAATAAAAGAAAGACCCAGATGAGTGCTGGTCATCACCTGAAACAGGTCTCTGAAGCAGCTTGTTGCCCCCTGACTACATCACATCACCCTGCATGGCAGCCCTCATATTCACACACTGGTGCAAACTCGCCCTGCTTTCACTGTAGCAGTTCTCAGGGTGGGAGAGGTAGTGTTCCCTGTTCCTGATGTCCCCTTTTCATACAGAAAGCTGTGCTTTCTCCTTTTCCCTCATCTGAAGTATATCAGGACCGTGCAGGAAACAAAGGCTCATCTCAGTTCCCCAGGCCTATCTTTGCAAGACAGCCTGTCATCTTGGACAACTCAGAACAACAGGTAAGATGTTTTTCTTCCCAACACTTCAGACCCTGATCCTGCAACATTGGGGGCTAACAAGTTAGCAATGGCACAATGTGGAAGGCAGAGCAACAGGCAGGTGCACAGGTAGTATAGGTCTCAGGTATTCACGGGATTTTACAGCCCAAATTGCAAGACTTGAAAGATGAGAGAGGTGTAGGCTGACAGAATGGTTTGTGTGACCAGGAGAGGGTCACGGTGAGACAATTGAAGGAAACAGTCCAGCAAAGGCAGCCACTGAACAGAAGCAGGGAGGAAACCTGAGATCTTGCTCAGAAAATGGACAGGTCAGCCAATTAAAGTTTTTGGAGTGGGGATGTTCCTCAGTGCTCTGTGACTGCATTGGAAATGATAAATCATTAGTAGCATGCTTTCTCATGCAGGCCTCTTCATTACCACAAACAGGACCAACTCCCTTCTTACCATCCCCGTAGTGCAGTTGGACAAACTGAAAAGGTCACCCATCTCAAAACTGGACAAAGAGAACCAGGTGTGGAGCCAGCAATAGCTGCTCCCTGCTGGTCTCACAGCAAGGAGCAGATATTTTTTTCCTCTGCCTCTCATAGTACTTCCCAGAAACCATTCGAGGTGCTTCATCTGGATGGGGTGAGACCCCAGTCACAGAGTTTTCCAGCCACAACACCTCCCGGCATCACTAGTCCTATCACACGACAGCGCTGAGCTCCCGTTAGATGATCGCAGGCCCTCTGAGGAGAGACTGAAATGAAAGGGCTGCTGATATTAAGGGGGAAACACATTGCTGGGAATTGCATTGAGAGGTGCCAGATAGAGTGGGAATGGTGAAATTCCTGCAGAATGGGGACGGAAGGGCATGGAGGACGGGGTGCTTGCTGGTGCAGCCAGGGGCAGGGTGGGCTGGCAACTCCTTTACAGCGCAGGGAGGAGCGGAAAAGGTATCCACACTTACTCCAGGACGTCCCTGTTGAACTGCTTCTTGCTGTTGCCCAGGAACTCCCCAATCATCTGGCGGCTGAGGCCCTTCCGCTGGAGCAGGAAGTGTGCCACCCCAATGGGGGTGTCCGGGATGAAGCCTCGGGAGATCAGGAACTGGATCCCTTTGTCTGGATTTCTGAAAGGGAAGGACAGAGACATGGTGAGTTTGCATGATCAATTCAAGGCATTATTGCCTCTGCCTGACCTCATGACTTGCAGCAATGCAGCCCTCAGTATGTGCATGGGCGCCTGTGAGTTCATGTGTGTGGCAGGGACGGGACTGGTGGGGGACAGGGAAAAGTGACTTGGGGGAGTCCCCCCCCCAGTTGCCGATGAAGACAAACAGATGCCGTAGGATGTGCTGTGTCACTTGTAGCACCTGCTGTCACCCGGCAATCACAAGTGCCATCCCACTGCTACAAAGGATCCTGCTGCACAATACCAGCCTTATCAGTGACTCTCTTCTGCCATCCCCCTGCTCCAGAGTCAAAGGCTCTTATACCTTCCCTGCCCCACCTTGGCTGTTTAGGATGTCTGTGAGGATATCATTAGACTGTGTCCCCCACACAGACAGCACAGGAAATATCAGTATGTTCAGCTGCTCCAAATGCAACCCACAGAGTGCTGTCGCCAAGGACCAGGGGTCACCCTTCACTTTAGGGGAGTGGGGTCGCACCTTCTGTAGAGCAGACAAAGGCAAAAATGTGACTGTGGAGAGACTTAGGAGACATTGCTGCCATGGACTATGGCAAAATGAGGCTCAAGACAAGGGGGATAACCAGAGGTGGGCACTTTTTCTGTAAACAAAAAGATTCTCTTTTTCATAAATTTTTTAGTGCTCAGTGTTGAGTGACGCTTTCTACCTTCCTCACCTGAGCCTGGTGCTGGCTGCCTGAACAGAAATCCCATGCTTAGATTTGCTTATATCTTCCTCCACTTCCCCCACCCTTAGCTGTGTTGTTCTTTCCTTCTCTATTGATTTACTCCCTCAGGCAGAAATCTCTGTGTGTGGGTGGATGAGAGCACGCACCTGGAGCATGCCTTGTCAGAGCCGGGATCGAGCTGCGTTCAGCTCCCAGACAGAGGGGTTTTCTCCCTCTGTGGCTGCGAGTGCCTCTCTGAGAACAAGCCCAGCACTGAGTGGGCCTGACTGCCTGGTTGTGGGAGTGATTTTTCTGCTTGTTGGAGTGCCAGTGTCTGTGTCCGCATACACAGCTTTTGGGGGGTAGTGTGTGTCTCAAAAGCACACGTTTGTGTGTGTCTATGGCCTGTACATGCAGATTTCTCTTGCACCATACATGTTCATCAGAGCCTGCGTGTCTGCACATTTTGGCTTTTTCCTCATGTCTCCTATGAGCACACATGCTTCTATGTATTCTGGGAGTGACTGTGAGCCTATGTGGTGCCTGTTCCACCGTACAGACAGGAATGAGTGTGTATGTGTGTATTGTGCAGGAGGTTTTCTTCCTATATTTCAGTCTGCCCCACTGAAGAGTGTCTGTCATGATGCACTCCTGCTGAGGGGAATCAGTGCAGTGCCAGGAAGATTTCCACATTCCTTTGGTTCTCTGAGCTGGTGAGTGGGGAGAGGCAAGAGGGTAGCCTCTTCATGAAAGGATGCCGTATTTCCATCATTAAACCAAATTCAGGGATCTTTGTCAAGGCTCAGGGAGTGCGTTTGCTCAGGCAGTTTTGTGGGGTGAGGAAAGGATAGCATGAGATCTCAGAGCACGTGAATGCATGATATACACAGGCACAGACTGTGACACTGTCAGGTGGTGAAGGATGTGGGTGAGCAACATATGTCTAGCTTTAGGGGGATCAGCATTCAGGAGAATGGCCTGCTCCTTACAGGAGCCTCATAGGTATACAAAAAGTAGACGGGCTTGAAATAGTTCTGCTTACTCTGCAACGGAACAAAGGAAATATCCTGCGCAGTGTGACATCCCCAGGGACAGTGGCTGGGAGAACAAGTCAGCCCATTAAATTTATGAACAGGAGAGCTGCAAGATCAGATATTGAAAAACCCAGGCCTTCAGGGAAAAGCAACAGCGCACCTTCTGTAATATCACAAAGATCTCCTGGATCACCTTTGAAGAACACAGGCAAAGTTCCCTTCTAAGTGCAAAGGTCATATGGTCAGGGCTAAAGTCAAATTAAGCAACAGAGATTCATAAAATGCACCTCCACCTGCACACTTCGGTTTTTGGCAAGGGACAGTATGGTGCCCACAGCACAAGGATGATCTCAGCTACACTGGTGTGACTCCAAAGCCACTGGACTGAATTAAGACTCACTCCAGAGGATCTGGGAGCTGAATGTGGCCAGAAAAATGCAGCTCATGCACTTGCACGGATGTGCAGATTTCAGTAGAGGTGGCACAAGCAATGCAAGAGGATGTAGGATAAAACAGTCCAGCTGTGACAGTCCTCCAGCACTGCCTAGACTATAACTCAAATATACAGGCATACACTATTCTTCCACTAACAGCAGCTTTTCATCAGTTTTTCCCTGGATTCAATTTGTTCCCCACAAAATCCTGATAGCAATACAGCATCTCCATCACTGAACACCTGCAGATGTATCCTGTGTACTGCAGCATGCAGCTTTTAACCAGATGTGCAGCAGACAACTGCAATTCCATCTCTCCTGAGCCTGGTCCCTGGTATTTTCTTTAGTGTTGCAGGGGCGTTAAGCACAGGCAGCAAATGCTGCGGGATTCCTCACGTCCTGCTGGCTTTCCCTCTGCCCACGCAGCCAGCTGCCCACACACGCTGAGTTATTACAGCAGCGCTGCATAATGAAGCACTCTCCGTTCCAGGGATTCCACCCCCTCACTGTGGAGTGGGGATGGGGAAAGTGCCATGGCAGCACAGCACTGATGTGCTCCTAAGGGCCTGCTCTGAGACAGAGTGCCGCTTGCTAAAAACGCAGCGCAAGGCTGGCGAGACCATGGCAGATGGTGCTAGCAACTGGAGGCTTTCAGCTCTTGGTCCAGGGGAGCGGTGGGCAAAAAGGACGTGCACACACGCATGCACGGCCTCAGCTCCACGCCCTGTGGGTTGGTGCCCACATCGCAAATCCTACAACAGTAAACTGGCTCCTTGCTAGAAACTGACAGGAAAACCAACAACCAAATAACAGCAGAAAGATGAAAGGTATTCCCAGCTCCTTGGATGAAGGTGCACTATGGTGTCAGAAGGGGTGCCATGTGTCCCTTAGATCACGCTCAGAGAATAAAACAAAGGCTTCACTCCTCAAGGCTAATAGGACCTTAAAGATCACCTAGTTCCAAACCCCTTGCCATGGGCAGGGATACCTTCCATTAGATCAGGTTGCTCAAAGCCCAACCTGGCCTTGAACACTTACAATGATGGTGCATTCACAACTTCTCTGGGCAACCTGTTCCAGTGTCTCACCACCCTCATAGTAAAAAATTTCTTCCTTGTATCCGATCTAAATCCACTCTCTTTCAGTTTAAAACCATTACCCCTTGTTCTATCACTACATATCCTTGTAAAAAGCCCCTCTCCAGCTTTCTTGTAGGCCCCCTTTAGGTACTGTAAGGCTGCTATAAGGTCTCCCTGGAGCCTTCTCTTCTCCAGGCTGAACAACCACAACTCTCTCAGCCTGCCTTCATAGGAGAGGTGCTCCAACCATCTGATCATCTTCGTGGCTTTCCTCTGGACCTGCTCCAACAGCTCCATGTCCTTCTTACATTGGGGTCCCCAGAGCTAGGCACAGCACTCCAGATGGGTTCTCAGGAAAGTGGAGTAGAGGGGCAGAATCACCTCCCTTGACCTGCTGGCCACGCTTCTTTTGATGCAGCCCAGGATGCATCAAAAGAAGGTGGCTTTCTGCTCTGCGAGCGCACATTGCTGGCTTATATTGAGCTTCTCATCAACCAACACCCCCAAGTCCTTCTCCTCAGGGTTGTTCTCAATCCATTCCTCGCCCAGACTGGATCTGTGCTTGGGATTGCCCTGACCCATGCGTAGGACCTTGCACTTGACCTTATTGAACTTCATGAGGTTGTCATGCGACCACCTCTCAAGCTTGTCCATGTCCCTCTGGATGGCATGCCTTCCCTCCAGCATGTCAGCTGCACCACACAGCTTAGTGTCGTCAGCAAACTTGCTGAGGATGCACTCCATCCATCTGAGGATGCCCATGTCACCAACAAAGATGTTTAACAGCACCGGTCCCAATCCAAGAGGATCCGCTCCATGATCTTGACGGGCACAGAGGTGAGACTGACTGGCCTGTAGTTTGCCGATCTTCCTTCTTCCCTTTTTAAAAATGGGTGTTACATTTCCCCTCTTCCAATCAGTGGGAACTTCACCAGACTGCCACAACTTCTCAAATATGATGGATAGTGGCTTAGCAACTTCATCCACAAGTTCCCTCAGGACCCAGGGATGCATCTTATCAGGTCCCATGGACTTGTGTACTTTCACGTTCCTTAGATGGTCTCAAACCTGATCTTCTCCTACAGTGGGCGATTCTTCATTCTCCCAGTCCTTATCTTTGTTTCTGTGACTTGGGCAGTGTGGCTAGAGCACTTGCCAGTGAAGACTGAGGCAAAAAAGTCATTGAGCACCTCACCCTTCTCCACATCCCAGGTAACCAGGTCTCCTGTTTCCTTCCAGAGAGGGCCCACGTTTTCCCTAGTTTTCCTTTTATCACTGACATACCTGTAGAAGTTTTTCTTGTCACCCTTGACATCCCTGGCCAGATTTAATTCTATCTGGTCTTTAACTTTCCTAACCTGATCCCTGGCTGGTTGGACAATTTCTCTGTACGCCTCCCAGGCTACCTGTCCTCGCTTCCATCCTCTGTAGACTTCCTTTTTCTATTTGAGTTTGTCCAGGACCTCGTTGTTCCTCCATGCAGGACCCTTGGCATTTTTGTCTGACTTCCTCTTTGTTGGGATGCATAGCTCCTGAGCATGGAGGAGGTGATCCTTGAATATCAACAAGCTTTCTTGGGCCTCTCTTCCCTCCAGGGCTTTATCCCACAGTATTCTACCAAGCAGAACCCTGAAGAAGCCAAAGTCTGCTTGCTGCAGACTGCAGTGTTTGTGGTTGTTTGGCTATGGCCAGTTCCCTCCCTCCCTGTCCTCCAATGTTTTGTCAAGAAAACTGAGCCTTACAGATTTACTACGTGTTATTACAGCAGCTAGTTTCAAGGGAGAAGGGGAGGCCTGGCTAGGAAGTTGTATTTCGGGGCTCCACATTAAGTCTTCTGTCCCACAAGGACCTGCAAGCTGCAGTGAACCCAAGTCACTGAGTGAAGGAGGATGGCAGAGCTGCTTCCCCAAAACAGACCTGGTGCTGCTAATGTCACATGAATGTGTGCCAGGCAGACTGGGGGAGGAGGAGAGGCTGGGAAAAAGCATTTTCACTCCTGCTTTATCTTCACGTCAGTGCCCATGTCAACTGTGCAGGAACCAAACGAAAACACACTGGGTGGAGGGACTCCTGCCAAGCACGGCTGAGAATACTGAAACACTTAGTAGCAGACACGTGAGCCCCACGTCCCACTCCAGAAGTACACCTATCCTAACACAAACACCAGAATATCTGTTTTGACCTGGAACTATCTCTATCATAATCAACCCCCACCTGTGTCAGGCACCTACCTTCTGTCATTCCAGCCTGCTTGTGTTCATCAGGCAAATCTGTGTGCACCCAGAGCCTGACACATGGACCCACCTGTTCACAACCTGATCTCAGAGCTAGTAAAATGTCCTCCTCAGTTCTGTAAGAGTCCCAAATCTGTCAGCTCAAACATCACTTCAGTTCTGGATGTGCTGTCAGCCAAGCCTTAAAACCTCTCTTCCAGGTTCCTGCCTCCTGGAGTCCACAGCCTCCATGCTACACGTATATAAATCCTGTGCATTTCCCCCTTGTCTGTGGAAAACTTCTGCCTAGGACTGCATAATCTTTAGTCCTTCCTCTCACCAGAAGGCCCACGCTAACGTGTGGCAAAACATTCTTCTAGTATGGGTATATTACATCCCCAGCATCTTCATCAGGGGACTCAAATAGAAACTAAGACAGTAGAAGATGAGAGTGTGTTGATGGAGCAAAACCCAATGTTTCTCATGGCTTGCTTTGATGAGAAAAGTCTCACTGAAAGGCAATGAGCAAATCTAAAGCTCCTTGCAGCAGCTCAGCTGCTTTCTGCCAATCTAAAATAGACTATGTGTGACCCCTTAGAGTTAACCTCCTCTGACAGTAATCTCTGGGCTGCTCTGATTTTGCTTTCACACCTACAGCCTTTTCATAGGATATCAGACTCAGATGTGTGAGATACTGAGATGATTAAACCTGGTCTGTCAGGTGAAAATCCACCCAAATGCCAGAAGGAAAATGACAGCCAGAGCACTCTTACTGGGCTAGCCAAGCTCTGTCCTACCTCTGTCTCTTTACTTGGAAATACCCCATGTTAAGTAACATGGGGTTTACATCCCCAGCTATGCTTGTTCCTTTGCAACAGAGTGGAGCAGGAACCTAGATCCCAGGCTCAGCAGGTGGATGCCAAGTGGACAACAACTGGGACTGAAGGTTCAGAATTCAGGAGAGCATGGGCACTACTCATGGGGCACTGGGCTTATTCCTCTATTAGGCAAAAGGTCAGGACAGTACTTGGGGGACTTTAGGGAAAGCTTCTGGGCAGCCAACCTGTGGGTTGTATTGCATACCCAGATGGTCACGCCCCTGAATATGAAAGAACTTCCCTGGAGATGGATCTAGATCAAGAGCCTGCCATCACGTCTTCCTGTAAGGCATGAAATAAGCTGGGAAACACAAAAGAGGAAGAGTCACTTACATATTAAAGAGGTTCAGCCCAATGCGGTAGAGGCGCTTCCTCATGGTGTCTGTGGAAAGCGTGGGGGACTTGCAGCTCGCTGGATTCTCGCAGTGGTACCTTGGGAGGCTGAGGATCATGGCCTGCAGTGCTTCTTTTGAGGACACCTCTGAGGCTGACTTGGCTGAAGTAGAGGTGCTGCTGCTGCTCAGCTGCTCTGAGTTATCTGCATTCTCAGACTCAGAGCCTTTGCTTTGCCCCATCTCATTGCTGGCATCAAACTGGAGCTTCTGCACTGCCATCTGCCCAGGCTCAGCACTGCTGTCTCCTGTGCCATTAGTACTGACATTCACCTCGGTGAGAGCGTGGCTGTTCTGGAGAGCTCTGGACTCAGGTAAGGTTTCTGGGGCAGTCGGTGGTTCACTGGCTTCTCCCTCCCCTTCTCCTGGGCTTTCTTCAGCCTTGGTAGCTTGAGAGAGCCCAGCCTGAGCACTGCTGCTGAGGCAGTTTGCCATGGACACCGAGGTAGATGATGAGACAGAGATGTTCTTGTTGTCGATCTGGACTGTGACATCCCGAAAAGCCATCATGAGAGTGCTGCTGCTCTTGGGTAGGGTATCTGGCAGGAGCCCTTCCTCCTTTTCCTTGTCCTGCAGCTCAGCTTCTAAGTCTTGGTTTGGCTGCATTGAGCTGGCACTGAAGGTCTCCCTTATCTGGTATGAGCCCCCATCTTGCAGTGAGCACATGGTCTTCAGGCTCCAGGTGCTGAGGGCATCATCAATAGACTTGGCCAGTGACTGAACTTGTTCCGTGAAGGAGTCCTCCAGCTCGGTCAGTGCTCCACTGATGGTAGCTGGCAAAGATGGGGACCTCACCAATGGGATGCCCACAAAGTTGTACCCCTCCACCAGGGCTTTCTCAGCAGAGAAGCTCTCTGAGTTCTGGACCCGGACTTTCCTCAGAGAGATGCGGCGTGGCATGCGGCTCTCCAGCAGTGAGTTGCGGATCTTCTCAAAGTTCTTGCTGAGCTGGTACTGCCGGAAAGCAGTCTGGATGGTGCAGGCTGCCCTTCGAGATACCAGGTGACCTCCGTATTTGTGCTCTAACATTTCAATCTGAAAGACATACAAACAGGAGAGGTTATTTTTTGCTAATTGACTTCTGATGGCTTTCTGTTACACCAGTTCCTACACAGATTAGTCTGTAATGACTGTCAGAGGAACTTCTAACACTGAATTAGCTTTCTCCTGCACTGCTGTGCCCTTGATTTCAACAGAAGGCCTCCCTTAGGGCATGGCTGGTTAAAGCATCAGTACTGTGAGCTTCCTCACAGCTGTAACATGATCATGCCTCTTCCTAGAGTGTCAGCCATAAAACGTGGAGCCTGGAGGTTCCCTTCCCTTACAGACCCACTTCTGATGGCCTTTAGGGCATGCTCATCACTGCAAATACAGTGTTCCAGCAGTTTGTCTTTCTGTTCAGCAGCACTCTGGTAATGTCAAGCATCATCCCTTGTCTCAGAGTGTTACTAATGCTCCTCCCCTCCTTAGTCAGCTTAGGAAATACTCTCAGGGAAAGGAGAAATCATTCAGGAAAAGGAATGAAAAGTTAATTTTTAAATGCAGAAAATGCTGGCTTTATCATAGGAGCTAGTGAGAAACACCAGCTTCCACAGAAGCTAGCATCTTCTTTTCTGATGCCTGACTTTTTCAGGAGTCAGTCAGCACTGAAATGAAAACTAGCCAAGAAAAGAAAGACTGACAGTTTTGAAAGGTAAAAAATTCTGATTTAAAATGTTGAGACAAGATATTAAGAACAAGTCAAAGGAGGATTTACTCCTTCCTGAGCTGGTAACAACAAACACACATGTAAATACATACACATACTGCTAAGTGCCATCTCAACAGGCTTCAACAAAGCAAGTATGTATGGTAATTTCTCTTCTGTAGTCTAGTTTTTATACTTCCCGGTAATCCCCTCACTCTTCCTCTGCATCTGGGCCTTCAATAACATGCTACTGGAGAATGTTAGATGACTTGGTTCCAGTGAGTGACCGACAGAGGGATAGTATGAAGACTATGGTGGATGGAGGGACTGAAGAAAAAAGAAGGATAAACTCAAATTGCCTTCAGTGAGGTTTTGGCTGAACTATGAGCTAAACTCTACATTGTTGGCACTTCACAGTGCAGAGTGCAGGTGCAGACTGTAGTGTTTGTATGTGTGTGCGCGCATGTGGAAAAGCCAAAAAAGGTGAAGTGCAGGACTGGGAGTGCTGGTGAAATCAGTCCTGAATTAACAAAGGATTCACTACATCATTCATGTGGCGAGTATGAGCTCATTAGCAGATCCAAAGGATGAGTTTTACTGACTGCATCTTTATCCCCAAGCAGATACCACTTACCCCTCACCACTCCTTGCTGGCCCAGTACTCACAGGATGAAGGACTGAGCTCACAGAAGAACTGAGTTCAAGTGCAAACTGTTTTTGTAATTAAAGCGAGATTGAGGCATGAGCCTCAGCTCTCGGAGTCATGTCATGTCATCTCTTTCCTTCTTATTTTCCTTTTTTGTAACACTACATACGTTGCAGATAAAACCATCAGTGAGTGATCTAGATACAAGTGAAGGCCTGGAATGACAGCTGCAAGAAGTGTAAATCACCTATGGCATCTTCCCAATACTAACTCCCCTGAAAGCAGGCAAAGACAATATGACCTTGGGAGATGACAGGAAGAGGGGAACAACATGACCCCAGCCATTCTGTCCCTGCATTGGTATCCTAGCTGCTGGAGTAAGTACTGAAGGCTTTGCCCACTGGCACCCCATCACCCCAGGTCGCAATAGGTCCAGGGACCCTGCTGCACACTGGATGAGAGGTTGCCATTTCTGGAAGGGAGCAGGAAGTGGCACGTCCTTTCATATTTCCCTCACTGGAAATTAAGCTGGGACCCTTTGCGTTGTGCTCAAACATAAGATATGCTTCCGTTTTCTGTTTGCCTTGCCCTGTCCTTGAATTCACATCTGCCCAAAGCAAGCATCAAAGCCCAGCACTGAGAAATACTAGCAATTTCTTTAGCAATGGAGTTGGTTACTACAGTTACAGAGGCAGCTAGCTCAGAGTTCTTCTTACCCCTAATTTAAAAAACATTGGCCTAATACTTGCCCTGCTGCCCTTCCAGAAAGGGTTTGCAGAAATGCTGCTAAAAATCACCCACACAATGATCATGGATTCATGTTCATTTACCACAAGACCTCTCAGTAGGCTTTTTGGATAAACAAGGTCCCTTCTTATCCCCAGAGTTTGATGTGGAAGGAAAAAGGAATACAGGGACAAGAAGAGATTCTGGGTAGCAAGCAGAAGGGTTTTCCTAAGGATCTTTGGTCCTTCTTTCCAAAATGACCACCTTAAAATCCCACCATAAAACCAGCACTCCTGTCACATCTCTTCAACATTGGACTCCCTGGAAAGAGACTGAGTTATCCCTTGGCCCTTCCCTTCAGGAGGAAGGCTCAGGCAGAAAAATGCAAATTAAACCAATAACCTGCACAGGCCCAACCCAGACAGTTATTACTGACAACTGACCGTGAGCACTTAATATAACAGTCTGGTTAATCAAAATGTAGAGCTAATTGTGTTGGGAGGGAAAG